CTAGATGCCGCCCTGTGCCCCGTGCTCTAGGTGTGCCTGCTTGAGCGAGAAGGTTGGACTAGATGATCTGTAGAGGTCCCTTCCAACCTTGAATATTCTGTGATTCTGTGATTCTTTGATTCTGTGATTCTATATTGAGGGAAAGGGTAAAAGGCTCAAGGCACAAATTAAAATACAGGAAATTCTACTTAAACCCAAAAGCCTGTTCAGCTTGGAGGGAAAAAAAAAGGCTCAAGGGGGTTCTTAGCAATGTGCATAAACATCTGGAGGGATGGTCTAAAGAGAATGGAAACAGGCTCTTCTCAATGGTGCTCAGTGACAAGATGAGAGGAATAATGGCCACAAACTGAAACAGTTCTACCAAGAAGTTATGCCTGAACAAGAGGAAAAACTTATTACTGTGAGGAAGACAGAGCTCTGGAGCAGGTTGGTCAGAGAGACTGTGGAGTGTCCACATCTGGAAATACTCCAAAGCCTTCTGGACTGGCACCTGGATTGTGTGCCTAGATGACCCTGATTGAGTGTGGTGATTGGACTAGAAAGTCTCCAGAGGTCTCTTCTAATCTTGACCTCGACAGTTCTCTGATTCTGTAGCGTGTTGGGCATCTTGGTGACTGTAAAGGCTCTGGGTTCTTACACACCCTCTGTCCTGCCTTTCCTTATCTTTCCTGCATTAAAATTCCCCCAGCATGTCTGGAGTGGAGGAAGGACAAAAATAAGCAAAGATTGACAATGAAAGCATTGATTATGAGTTTGGCAAAGGAAACAAAAGCAGAATAGATCAAACAAAAAAAACAAACACAGGAAAACAACTGCCACAAGAGAAAAAGAGAGGAGAGAGAAACAACGGATTGAGATTAAAGAAAAGTTTCTTAGTTATATTTTTTATTTTGGAATTCTTCCACATGGACAAAACATTAATCGTCTCAAACTTCTGAATAATTTTGGGAACTTGAACTCAGGTAGAACAGCATCCCAAAAGAATGATTCTGATTTCTTCTGATTTCTTCGTGGGAATACAAATTCATCTGCCAAGTTTTCCTGCTGTGATTTTGATAAATCTCTCTCCATGGATCATCTCATCAGGCTTTTTATCACTGTGAATATGCAGTGTTTTCTGCCTCAGTGAAGGTCTTTCAAATAATTTTGCTTTGTATACGGATATAATTTCCTCAAAATTCAGACTGATTTTTACACAAAGCTTAACAAGGCGAGACAATGGTTTGAGATGCTTCAATGAAAAAAGCACCAACCCAAAAACCTTTTCATAATTTTTAGAATTTTTATAAAACAATATGAAGAACATGAAGTTACAGCAAAGTCATCAAAGCTTTCCAATCTTGAAAATCTACAGTTGTACTAAGGTAAAAACAAAGAAACAAACAAAAAATACATGAAGCAAGGTCATTTACATGAAAAAAAATGATGAGGTGTTGATGACTGTAGAAGTTTTTTTTTTAATGCCAGAACATGAATATTATGAATATTCTTTTAATGTCTTTGTTAAAATTAACAAATAAACAAAATTAAACCCTTCATCCTCAGAAAAGCACCTTGACGGAAAAGCAAAAATCAAGCCAGGCTTGAAATATTAAATGGAAGAAGAATTTCTTCTAGTCACTCCTGTTCTGAGGTTTGATTCTAATGTTTTGAAGATAAGAGCTTGTAACTTCAATATGTTAGTAAAGTATTATTTTCTGCATTGACAAGATCATTTAGATAATACTTACAACATATTTTAAACTGAGATTTCATATAACTTCAGCCTTATGACAAATGATTAGATCAATGTTTCTGTTAAACACATAACACTCAAAATCTTTTGGACTTGGATTTCTTCCTTCCCTTTTTGTGCCCCAAAGATTGCCCCTCTGTTTTCAAGATCAAAATATATTCACATTCTTTTTTTTTTTTTGCTAATTATATTCTATCTTCTGTCTAGATTCCAACACTCTAGTCTATATTCTGTTTGGCAAACTTACTCATTTTGACTTCAATATCCTTAATACAGGATATCCTTAAAAAAAGAAAAAGCTATTTAACTAAGAAAGAATGTATTGTATTAGTAGGGAAGGAATAATTTGCATTATTAATTCACTTACGGAAGAGAAACTCATTAGTCAAAAAAGCAAGTCTTTACTTCAGCTTCCTTACAGATCTAATCTCTGAGGAAAATTAAATTTGATTAATAGCATGCTTATCATTATCTGATTTTAATAACATTACTTGAATCTATTCTATATACTACTATTCCTGTTAAACTCTATGTATAAAAGTGAATTTTAAAAAAGATAGTTTTTTTACAGTCAAAACTCAGAATAGTAAGTATTGTTCCATTGAGTGAATTTTGTTACTTGATTTTATCTAAGGTACTTTAAGCTCAGCTGCTGTGATCATTTCAGACATGAAAAAAATTGTTGGAACATATCCAGTGGGAAATGTTAAATAATTCAAAAATATGGCCTTGATTGCAGAATGTCTTCACAGAGACACTATTGTGGCTATCTAAATGTGAGCCCATAAAATGACTATCAGTTTGTTTCTGTACCAAGGAAGTATCTCAAAAGACTTGAACTGAAAAAAATCTTTACTGAGAAGTCTTCAGTAAGACTTGGATCTGATGTGCAATTATATTTAGTTAGAAATATTCAGAACACCTAAGCAAACTGAATTCTAAGAAACAATATCCAATAAAAATGCACATATATCTGCACATGTTCCTGTGCTCTTTGTTGTTCTGCTTAATTTACATTTTTAGGTTACGTGGATAGGGAAAAAAAAAAAACAAAACCAAAACAAAAAACAAAAAACAAACAAACAAAAAAACCACTTTCAAATCCTTCCATCTGAGAAGCACATGCATATTTTTTTTTCTAAAGAAGTGCTTATATTGTTTAAATAGGAAAACTGTTATGAGAAGAATCTTTGGTAAATGCACCACAACGTAACTATTGCTGTTTCCATTACCTGCGTATGTCTACATGAAGTTGTTTAATTGCCACCAGCAGGTCTAGGGTGCCTAAAGAAGAATATAGTCATCTAGTAGATTTACAGAAATGAGCATTTTTGAAGACTTCTACACTCCTTGAAAATTGTGATATTCTCTCCCTAAACATAAAAAGCAACACTGCTTTCTTATTAAACAGGGAAAATAGCAACAGAAGCACAGAAATGCAACTATGAATAATGCTCTTCCATCCGGCCTACCAGGGAATGTTTTCAAGAACCATTATCAACTTCATGGTCTTCCATTAGAATTTCAGCCATGGAAAAACTTCTGAATATGTTGATAATGACACCAAATATATTTTCATTTAAAAAGCACCACTAACTTTTTTGAGCTGGTTCATAACCTGGCTGGAGTACTACAGAAATAAAGGTATTTTATTGCAGGATTTCTCCCTTGTAAACTGTGAATACAGAAAGCTCTTTGAAAACCAGGCTAGTGAGAATTTAACAAACAAATAACTACATTATTCCTCATTTCAGGGTCATGTAAAGCACTGAGGGGCAAATACAAACATTTATTAGTCCCTTTGAGAAACTTTTATTCTAAAATGTGTATTACCAGTAGATGAAAATCCACTGATACCTAAAGAATGATGAATGATTGCTTGATTCATATGCTTGAGAAATTGACTGATTCATTATGATCACGATTCATTACAATTCATTATGACCACAAATTTATCACACATTTCACGGAGTATTTAATGTAGGAAATGTCCTTTTCTGCCCTTGGCACACCCAATTATTAAACATTAGTTCTTTGAAATTATCTTTCATGTCCTTGTCAGAATATTTCAAACAGTTTTCATTTGAAAATGACAACCAGGGCACCGCTCTGGAGTCATATTCTCACAAGAGCTTCAGACTAGCCTCTATTTTTCCTGCTGGGACAGTGACCTTCTCAAGGGAAAAGGAGGGTTGCTCCACAGGGGACAGTGTGCCTGGAGCTCAGAGTAACGTCATGGAAGAAGAGTAGAACATGTCCAGTGATGATAACCAGACTCATCCAAGCGTCCAGATCACCAGGAGAGACCATAGTGATGGACCAGGCGTGTCTGAGGCCGAGGCCAAGTTAGGGGTCGCAACAGTGAACCAGGGTCACAATTAGTGAGATAAATGACCAGACACAAGCACAGTGGCAATATATCTCAAGCAAGAACCAAGGGCTTGGGCCTAAGTCTAAATGTTGCAAACCTGGTTAGACTGGAATTTGAATCTACATGAGATAAAGCAAAAACAATTAAGACCATGTAGTTGCAATCATTGGCTAAAATATCAGAATGATAGCTTTATCCTTCATAAATTGTTAAAAGACAGCATCCACTCATGACAGAAGAGACAGAAAAGGTCCTTGATCCTACTTTTATGTATCTATTTATTGCTAGACTGGAGGGTACCTTACTGAATGTCAGGGGACACCTGGCATGCATTAAGCCTAGTGAGTACAGAACTGCTTTTTACATGCTAAGGATCAATGTCAGGATGGAATATAGGTTAAAGCTTCTCAAATTATAATGTGAGAATACTATTTCAAAATAATCCAGACTTCTTAATATTTTATCTATCTTTTATTAGGTTTTATATAAAACCCATAGGTTTTATCTACCTATTATTCTAGTAATACCTTGTCAGGTAATAGTAACACGAGAGCTGATACAATACAGTACTAGACTAAGGCATCTGCTAGATTTGGGAAATTTAAGTAGTGCAGATACAACCCCAAGCACCCAAGTCATAAGAATCAGGCGTTTGATGTCTAAATTTCAGACAGGATAGAATGCCAGCAACTGAAGAGAGGGCAGTGGGTACATACCATGTGGGCAAGTGTGTCAGTCTGCATTCACCAGTGAACACCAAGCTGGATTAACCAGCGAGGGCTGAGCCAGCTCAGTGCCCTCATGCAAGTCATTGATGAACAAGTTGAACAGTTGAATATGTCTCTACACATGAAGCAACTGAAGACAAGGGGATCCAGGAGCCAGCTGCTGGGTGGACTGAGTATATAAGGCCGCTGAAGAGATCCACATTGCCTATGTGCATATAATTTCCAGTAATGGACTTGTGCACTGGTCAGCCAGAGAGGTGAACAGGCTAAGAAAAGAAATGGATGAAAATCAGCTTGCGTTTTCCTATCTACAGCCTGTTGAAGTCCCTCTGAATGGCAGCACAGCTACCTGTTGTATCAGCCATTCTTCCTAGATTCTTATTATTTGCAAACTCTTGATATACTCTGTCCCATCATTCCAGTCATTAATAAAGATATTAAATAGTATTGACCTAGGTGTCAACCTTGGGAACCTCAGTAGCGACTGGCCTCAGGATTGACTTTGTGTCACTGATTACAATCCCTTGAGCCCAACAATTCAGCCAGTTTTCAGTCCACCTCACTGTCATCCTTGTCAGTGGTAATGCTACGGAAGACCATGTCAAAAGCTTTGTCAAGTCAAGATAAATGACTTTTTCTTGTTCCTCGAGCTAGTGATTTTATACTAGAAGCCTACTAGGTGGCCAAGCATGATGTCCCTCTCTGTAAATCTATGCTGACTTCTTCCAGTCACCTTTTTGTCCTTAATATGTCTGGAAATGTTTTCCAAGGTTCCTGTTCCATTACCTACTCAAGAACTGAAGTGAGGCTGATTGGGCTGTAGTTCCTCAGATCCTCCTTCCTGTCCTTCTTGAAGGTTGGAGTGACATTACTTTCTTCCAGTTGTCAGGAACCTCCCCTGATTGCAAGGACCTTTGGAAGTCAATTAAGAGCGACAACACAGTGGCACTGGCCAGCTCTCCCAGTACTCATCGCTGCATTTCATATGGTCTGATTATTTTTAATATGTCCAATTAGTTTAAACCCCTAATCTGAGCTCCAGACTTTTCCTCTTGTTTCAGAGATTTGGTGTTTCTGAGCGCAAATCTTACCAGTAAGAAGCAAGGTGAAGAAGGGACTGGGTACCTTGACTTTTTCCACATCCTTGGCTACCAGATCCCAACTCCATTCAGGAGCAGGCACACATACTTCCTCATATTCCTTTTCATCCTGCATATAATGAATAGAGGGCAGTCACTAGCTTAGAAAAATATATGTGTACTAAATAAATGAAAGCAATTACTACCTCCTTCCACTCAATTATTTTCTGCTGAAGACACACTGTTCCTTTCAGGACAGCATCACACTCCCTTTCACCTTTTGTTTCCCAGAAAAATAGAAGTTACAGTATTCAATTTTTTAGTTTCAAGGCTGTCAATGAGTCTTTTATGCTATGCCCAGTGGCACATATTGGATGTAGAAAAGAGTGGGAGTCAGCGCTGTGAATTATGGTTCTATGCTATAGCTCAGAACTTCTAATCAAGCTCTTAAGAGTGCAAGTGAAGCATGTGCAGCATTCAAGCTAGTTTATTCAGCTCACCCTAAAGAAATCTGTGGAAACAAGGATCAGCATAAAGAATTCAACACTAGGATTGTATAGCAGCATGGCAGCCTGAGATATCTTGTAAATGGAGAGTGTGTCAGAGCCTTATCGCTCTTTTTACATCAGTAATAACCTTCAAAAATTTGTGGCTAGTGACCCTTGGCTGGTAAATGTTCTCTGCAGTATTTTTTAGACTAGACTTGCTGAATTCACTGTTCTACACAGAAAGGACCTGGCTGTGCTCCATGCTGATGACAGCTGTCTCCTGCACAGCATCTTGAATGAGGAGTTCCAAGTCCAAGCAGAATCTGTTCCACCTTCATCAGGGAGATCTTGAGGAACACTTTGTAGCACATAAAAACAACAAAAAAACTATAATGGATATCTCTGCCTCAGTTTCCTCTGCCTATGGATCAGCAAAAGGTCTTTTAGGCCAATGATGATTTTTCTGGGAAGGTCTAGAGTCAATCCTGTGCCTTTATAGGCAGAAATGTCTTTCCTGGTACTGACTCTAGCTCAACTAGACTCTCTGTTCCAAAACTCCTTCTTTTTCCCCTATGTAATTATTATGAATTTCTAAAATGATGGGTAGGGATCTACCTAAAAAACTCACTTTGTTGTGTCCAGGAACATTTAATAAGAACAATATCCTACATGGACAATTAATATTTGATAGATGAAATTTTTGAAAGTAGAGAGGTGGATAGTCAAGCACATATATATATATGTGCAATGTTAAGGCTCATTATTAAAGGAGAATGTTTGATATGTATGTGAATATATATATATATATATATATTTTTTCAGCTCTACCCAGAACCCTGCCTTGTAGAAATACCCTTAAAAATCAAGAAGTTTCCTCTGTTTGGAACTAAGTTCAAAATTAGTTGCCTGTGTTATGAACCATAATAAATCATGAAGAGAAAATCCACTGGCTTAAGTTGCTTGCAACCTTTCAGGTCAATATAAATAGCTGCTACTAGCAATATTTACACAAAAAATTACCTTTAGGACTACGGAAACCATCTTGTTTACAAAACACTTCAAACATTTTAATTAGTTTGTAGGTAGTCAGACAGCTAAGGGACTATAGAGCTAACCTTCCTTGACCAAAACATAAAAAGAATACTGTTGCATGTAACTGAGGAGGTAGTACAAATAAGCTTAATTTTCTAGAGGCTGACATCCTTTGCTGTAAGTTAAATAAACTTTGAGGCTAAAGCCACAGTCAAAAATGCAGCTTTTATCATTGTTTCAGCGTGACAAAATGCAAATAAGACTTCTGTAACCTGAATCCTCTTCTCTGGTTTGAGTTTTACTCAGTAAACACTCCTCTTTTTATTTTACAGGGCTCATGTCATTCGCAGTGTAACCTACCAACTGCTTTGGTGGACAGAAGGTGTAAGATTGGCACAGCTGGGTTCAGGAAGGGGGGAATTCAGGAACTGAGGGGAAGAGAAGACATTCACCAGCTAATCCTGTCATTGCCCTTCTCTCCTCTAAACTCATACGTCTTAATATTGACCTTAACACACAACCAGGTGCTGTGCAGGGAAGGTTTATGAATCAGAAACTACCAAATACCTTCAAAATTCTTTTTGTTTGACATTTGATTTCTTTTTGACTGGCATGTCATGTTTTTCCAAAGCTAGCATGTATTTGTTCCTCCTGCTGACTGTTTGCACAGCATGAGTAGAACCAAGGCTGATTTGTAGAAAATGGATGTATCAGAAAACCTAGCAATTTTATTTATGCTTAGTGTGAATTATGAAACATTTCATCTTTAACTATCTCTTTAGTTCCTATTTTTCCATGATACGATTCCTGAAATGACTATTAGAAATGAAATATATTAGCATAAAGCTATAGCTGGTATGAGGCATTTTCATCTGCGAGCTGTTAAGCTCACTTTTTCAGGGACACTAAGTGCAGGGAGCTTTAAAAAGCAGCGTGCTCTTAGATCTTTGCCACTTCCATTTGAATTGCAAAATGCCGTAATTGTGCAATTTGGGCTGTAAAACACTGTGCTGCTTTAATAACAGAGCTCAGGTGGCAGCTGCTTCTATCAAGGGAAGTGGTCTCCAGTGGCTCCTGCCTGCTCCCAGGGATCAGTACCAGCAGCGATGATGTGCCAGCTCCCTCAGTGTCTTTCCAGGGAGAAAATACGTGAGAAGATTACAGTGTGTGAGGGGATATGCAAGGGGGTGTAAGGAGATGTGAGGGTGCTGGTTTAGTGGCAGGTGGGTGCCTGCTAGAATCCCCTTTCTGATCAGACCCCAACCTAAATCCTTTTTGTAATTCAACTGCTGGCACTGCTCATTGCCCTTAAGATATGACAGCTGTTCTCTTTTTCTGCCCTTTCTCTCCTTTCCTTCACCCCTCAGATCTCAGAGTTTATTCCTCTTCATTTTTTTCTTTTTCCTTTGTTTATAACTAATCCACCCTGAGAGCTACTCAGGGATCAGGAAATGTACTGCCTACACAGAGCTCTGTTTCAAGGAACTGTGCCCTATCATTTATTGGCTATTATCGTATTAGTTAAAGAACATATTTGAGGAAAATTATGCAAAATTGTTTAAATAAAAATGAAAAGCATGGTTCAACCAGGGCAATAAATCCACCCCAGTGTGTGTAAATGATCTTGAACTTTTGAGGAACCTGAACTGGCTTCTGTCCTGAGTATAATGCACAATGTGAACTTTGAGTCATTAGCTTTTGCTGCAGACATTTCTGACACTGATTGACAAACCTCACTGTGACTCCATTGCACAGCATACACTTTTAAAATGTCGTTAAGTGGTCGCCTCTAGCCAGCGTAGCAGAATGGAGAGTCACACTTGAGCTAAAGCAGTCTTGGTTGAGGACAATATCTGTCAGGCCCTCTGGGAAACCTTTGTCTTGAGATTTATTGATTAATAAAATGCACAGCTCAGCAATAAAGAAGTTACTGAAGGAAATTACTTTTGTTTGTCTGGAAGAGTAAAAGAAAGATTTTTTTTTTTCTCCTAATCTCCAGGATGGTCCTCTGTTGCTTTTTCAGTGTGGTAAATACAGGGAAGGAGTAAATACTTGAAGGAAGGGTGGAGTTTTTAAGTACCAGATGAAGTTTGTGATTATGCTCTGTCAACATTTATGAGATACGAGTTTTCTTCATCTCATTTTCAGCATCAGCTTCATATCAGCATTCAGATTGTACCATGCTATTCAAAAAATGATAAAAATAGCTGTATTTATGCAGTGATTCCTGTTGACTTGCTTGTCTGCCATTTCTATGGAGCTAGGGAGGCTTTCCAGCCTTTGAAAGAGAAGGTCTGTCTGGAGTGGGGCTGTAAAATCTGTGGGTCTTGTCTTCTGCTTCCACGGTTATTTTGACAATTTATGTGAGGTATTGCAATAGCAAGGGACAGAAGAGAGAGGGAAGACTTAATATAGCTCTAAAGGCATAAGGAAGTTCTCATATGGTATAAGGTTTTTCTATTTACAAAGCCTATATTTAGAAAACCCCCAACAACTTGAGCTGGCACAAGGGGAAAGAATGGTTGCCATAAGATTGGAATTGCTCTCTTAAGAAGGCAGATTAAAAGATTTCGCTGTTTCATTCATAAGATAATGATTTCATAGGAATCCATTTGGGGATTCACAGAATAAATTCATAGAGAGGGAGAGGAGCTATTTATATTAGAGGATACTATCAGTACAAAGTCAAATTTTTGGTAATTGAATATGTTTAAACTGGAAATGGAAAGATTTCTAACCACAGATACCTCAGATATAAGCACTCTCAAAATAGCTACAATATTAAACCCACTAAATAGGTAAAACCTTTTACTGTCTAGACAGGCGTACTGCTTCTTACCATATATGAACTCACAGACTTCTTAATCACTCACTCTATAAGCTTTCACATTATTAAATTTTTACAGTATTAAACTTCTTGATGATAGTTGCAGGTACGGAGCCTCCTTTTGGCGGTGATTTAGTATTCTGGAGAATGTGCCTAACTTCTAAAATGGAAATTTTGACTTATATTGAGCTTTGATTTGAAACCAGGATAAGCTCACCAAATATACACAACCTAGTAAGACTGTCATAAATTAGCCATCTGTGTTGAAGTAAAAGGTGCTAACATTTGAGCGCAAAACACAAACAGTATAAAAGAAAGCATCTGCTTGAGAGAAGGTGAATAAGGAATCAAGATTCTACTTCTTCCACAAAAAAAGAGCAGCACTCAGCCAGTAACTCATTTGGTTTGAGTGATTCTCCAAGAGGATGTATTAATCATCAGCATAAGATATAAAAATATTTATAGATTATTATACTGGCTATACTTGTTCACAATATAAACGCACTTAGCAAAAACTTCTAGTATTCTTGCCTCTAACTTCTTTGGTCAGATCCCGTAATACAATGACTTCTACTACAACACCATCCATGGAAGGAAACATCTGAACAATCTTCATCTGAATATCTGCGTGAGAAAAGCAGAAGTCATGGCTAGGATATGAAACATTAGATTTTTCTCATGCAGTACCTCAGCTGATGATAAGACAAAATTAAGATCAATTTTTTGGCCATTATGTGGGCACTTGCAAAATTGTAATGCAGCTTCTTACTCATACAGCCATGAAGAG